AGAATTTCTGAATGCTATTTGTTTCCATTAAGCCTAATAACCAGTTTTAGAGTGGATCATTTTTCTTAAGTTCGTTATACTTGCTAGGAATCAAGTGCGAAAGACATGAAGGTGTGGCAGACAGACCTAGAGCAATGAAGGCAATGCCTTGTTTTCCACACAAGTGAAGATCATTGAAGCAATGCATGCGTTGCAGAGTGGGATTCGAATAGGGAGGGTAGATAGTAGAAATTTGATAGGGTTGTGCAGTAGCTCATGATAAGGGGTGAGAGAGCTCTACGTAGAATTTTGGCACTGAGGAATCATACTTCCCTCTCTTTTGAACCCTTAAGAAATGCCAACCACGGTGTTTTCTTCTTATCCCTCATTGAAAGCCCAGTCTCCCACTTCTCAGCTCTTTTCCCAAATCATTCATCAATGTCTGGGACTCAGCCTAATCACTGTTCTTTAACACTTTTCCATGATGTAGCGTTTAAAAAAATGGCAAAACAAAAACATTGTCACTACATCTTCCAAATTCATTAGAAAAATTTTACATTCCATTCACACTCAATTATAATGAAAACTAAATTGTACATCAAAATGATTGTGCTGTAGGTCAAGATAGAGAGGCATTTGTAAATACGTTTTTTCAATGTTATTTTTCATTCATTGTGTGTATCAAAGCATTATTACTGTGGGCCATTTGCTAGAATAGGGAAATCACTTCTTTATATAGAACTGTCTATTAATTTGCCATTTTGTACATTTGACATGTATAGCAGAGATCTTGATGTTGTTGTTGTTGTTGTTGTTTTTTCTAAAGTATAACTGATAACCAAAGTAAGGGATTTCCTGTTGTTTCTAGAATGATGGAGCATTTCATTACTTTGCTATTCTAGAGCCCTTCGGTTTGAACCTAGCTAACAAGTCCAATCTGATGTCCCACTATTCTCCTTTATTCACCCAATTGCTTGTTTCGACTGCTTGCTTCTAGCCAGAAGAAGTGGTTTCCTTGAACTGCCTCCCAGTGTCTGGTCATGAGGTTCTTGAGGACAGAAATGTCATTCTGCTGGTCTCTGAATCCTCATTATCTGGCTGATTGCCTGACTTTGGCTTTAAGTAAATGAACATCGGCAAACTGAAAGTGTGTATACTTTACCTTTGTTTGTACCAGGCTCATTAGGTCTAAGTCCTGGAGGCTGTTACTAAGACCGATGTAGATTAGGTCTCCCAAGAACATGCAGTGCACTCCCCAGTTTTCTCTGAACTGTTAATAGCATCTTATCGAAAATTTTTATATATACTTAGCAGTTTACCATATATGATATAATTACTTTGATACGGGCCTTATCCCAGTTTTCCTGTAGGCTTTTGTGCCAGTTGGTTTTGGCTGCGAATGCTCTGCCATGTGTATTCTTGGACAGTCATCTGTGAAATGGGGACTGTGTTATCTATACCTTGGATGGTTACCAGGATCCAAGGAGAAAAGGTATATAAAGAGTAGTTGACACTCAGTAAGGAAAGAACAGAGAGCCTAACGTACATGTAAATATTCTGAGTCATCTCTCTCCTTGTCTGACTCTAAGCTAAGCTCCTTGAAGACAGCAGTTAATTATGTTTCCTTTTTACCTACCAACAGTGCCTAGCAAGTTCCTTAATCTTATTAGGTGCCCAAATATGTGTTGACTGAATGAACAGAAATTCAGTCATTGTTAATAATGGTAATATTGGGGCGCCTGGGTGGCGCAGTCGGTTAAGCGTCCGACTTCAACCAGGTCACGATCTCACGGTCCGTGAGTTCGAGCCCCGCGTCGGGCTCTGGGCTGATGGCTCAGAGCCTGGAGCCTGTTTCCGATTCTGTGTCTCCCTCTCTCTCTGACCCTCCCCCGTTCATGCTCTGTCTCTCTCTGTCCCAAAAATAAATAAACGTTGAAAAAAAAAAATAATGGTAATATTTATGGCTCCTTTATTTAAGATTCAGAATTTGATGAGTAAACATTGTAAGAATGAAAAGAGATACGAATCTTGGGTATGTGTTACTTATTTAATTGTTGGCTTTCATCTGAAGTTTACCTCTCCATCTCTGGATATTTATGGAAAGAGTATAATATACTGTAAATTATCCTGAAGCACTTCCCCACAAGTCTGGTTGTTGCATCAGGCATCCTGTCAGTGAAACAGAATTTGAAAGATTTTAGGAAAAGTGTAAGTTACTTAAAAGTGCAGTTCAGATTTAAATTATATGAACTTATTTAGATTCTGACTCTGTGCTGAATTCAGTCATGTTATGAAAATAAAGATGTGTTGGACTCTTCCTGTGGACCATTTTCACTTTGAGAAATGTTTTAAATATGTGGAGTTGTTTACATTTAGAATTTGAAGGAACCTAGAGGATAAACCCCTAATGTTTTGCTCAATAATAAAAAGGTGTGATAATAAACACGTGGAAGTATAAATTTATTCATTTTTATAGTTGAAAGAAAATCTCTTTTTATAGTGGTGAAGTGGCTGGTGAGTGTTGGAAAATAAACTAAAGGGCAACCTTACCTCTAGGCTTCCCTCGGCGCTGTTGACAGTTTTTATGTTGTAAAAACCAGAGGAACAAAACCATACAATCAGAGCAGTGTTGCAAGAGACCGGCATTACGGCACTGATTCTGAGCGGGTAGGGTCAGTGTGTTCACCTTGGGGAGTATGTTAGTTCCCTGGGTTTTGGGGTTTTCTTGTTTTTCTGCCTGTCTTTAACAGAATGTTTCCTCATCCACGCCGCCCCCCCGCCCCCCGCCCCGAAAGACTAAGAGTAAGCTCTAACTTAGGGCTGTAAGGTCGACAGCCTTCTTAGTTATGAAGAAACGTGCAGGTGGTCTTTAAGGTCACTTCTCACTCATTCTGAACTTCCCCCGAATGGCGGCTGGTGCTGTGTCTGTCTGTCACTCGGCTAGATGCTGGGGGATGCAACGATGGACGTCACTCTGTTATTCCTTGAAGCTCACAGGCCAGAGTAGCTTCTACAACCAAGTCCCTTAGATGTCTGCTAGCACGAGAGATGTTAACAGATGTTCCGTGATAAAAGGATTACATATTTCTTTAACTTCAGTACTAGTAAATGTTTCATCTCTCTGTTGTTGACAAGACCAAGAAGTCTTTCAATAAAGAAAAGAATTAAACTTTTTAGCCAGTATTTTCCCAGGCTGTTTAACCATCAGACCCTTTCTGTGTGTCACCGGTCTTAACGTTGCAAGGGCTGTAAATGCTCTGCAGCACACGGTTTGGGAGCCTGCCCTGAGATGGTTCTGGCCAGGTGGGTGCAGGGAGGGCTGCAGGGGCAGGGGGAGGGGGTTGCACATTCAACCGGGTCTGGAATGAGGAGTAGAAAGGGGAAGGGGAGGCCGCCCAGGGCTGGGCCAAAAGGACGGAAGGTACAAAAGCACGAATGTTTGACCTAGCGTGGGTGCGTGGTGTTTTTGAGGAGACCCCAAGTGGGAAAACCCAACCTACACCGGAGCCAAGAAGCTACCCCAGAGGAGGATTCAGGGCCCTTGGAATGCTTAAGAAGCTTTGAATAGCATGAGTGATACAAAGCTTATGGTAATCAGTTCCTGAATTTCGAAGCTCTGTAAGGTCTGTCGTGCTTATGCTGAAAGCCAGTTTTCTGTAGGGAGAAGAAAAATTCCAGATTTATCACAAACTAGCAAAAATATGAAATAAACTATTAGGGCTGAATCATCTATGTGCTACTGTTGAATTCTTATGGTTATTTAATGATAGTTTTTAAAAACTTTTGAGTCATCGGTGAACATTTAATACAGTACATTAGGAAGGATGAGGCAATTTTCCTTGTTGAAAGTTTCAAGTTAACTAATTTCTATTTTAGATTTTACCGTAGGAGAGTCATCACACAGAGAGACAGAACAATGTACTGTTGTTTTTATATTTTAGAATTTAAAGTTTAACTGAGCTTTTCCCCTACTGTCATTAATGTGCGTTTTATGTATTTATTTATTTATTTTTAGTTTTTGAGAGAGAGAGAGACAGAGTGCAAGTAGGGGAGGGGGAGAAAGAGAGAGGAAGACACAGAATTGGAAGCAGGCTCTGTGCTGACAGCTCAGAGCCTGATGTGGGTCTTGAACCCATGAACTGCGAGGTCATGACCTGAGCTAAAGTCGGATGCTTAACCGACTGAGGCATCCAGGCACCCTGATGTGCATTTTAAAATATTGGAAAGTACAGAGAAATAGAAAAAACAAAGTGATTTTGTGTCATAAAGAGACAAATGAACATGTTGGTATATTTTGCCAGACAAATTTGTTTTACTTATAATTCTGCTGAACACAGTGCTGCTACTTTACATTTCCCTATGTAAATTTTTTGCAGATACCACATTTAAAGACTATAATTTTCCATTCAGTGGGTATGCCATTGTTTGTATTTTTTTCTAACCATATTTTTAGGTGGCTTGTATTTTCTTTATTAATGTTTTGTATGTATAGTTCCAGATTTGTAATGATTGAGGCAAAAAGTAGCAATCTTTTAAGGCTCTTGAAGTGTGCTTTCCAATTAAAAACAGTGCAGGTAATTTATAGTTCCACTGGGAATGTATTGAAGTATTTTTTTAAAAAACTTTTTTAACATTTACTTATTGAGAGACAGAGGGAGACAGAGCATGAGCATGGGAGGGGCAGAGAGAGGAGGAGACACAGAATCTGAAACAGGCTCCAGGCTCTTAGCTGTTAGCACAGAGCCCGAGGCAGGGCTCGAACTCACAAACTGCGAGATCATAACCTGAGCCATCCAGGCACCCCTGAAGTATTTATTTCACTGGATATTGAGACCAGACATTAAAGACAAATAATAATAAAGCAACCTTTGTTGGTTCAATTGTTTAAAAATATGGACCATATCGTTTTGTTTATGGATTTAACGGTAAGCAGTGTTTTCAGTTAAATTATCCTTTTTAATACTTTGTGTAAACAAATGTAAGAATTTTCTCTTGATGTGAAGCTCCTTTTTATCTTGGAGGTATCCGTCACGGATTGAAAAAATCGACTATGAGGAGGGCAAGATGTTGGTCCATTTTGAGCGTTGGAGTCATCGTTATGATGAGTGGATTTACTGGGATAGCAATAGGTTGAGACCCCTGGAGAGACCCGCATTAAGAAAAGAAGGGCTAAAAGATGAGGAAGATTTCTTTGTAAGTAGCAATCTTCTTCCCGTTTGCTAGATGTGTAATGACATATTCTAAAAGGAATTCTGTTAAATATTACAAAAGCTTGTTTTTATAAAGGAAATGCTTATTTATTATACATGGTATTGATCTTAAAAGTTGTTTAAAATAGGATTTCAAAGCTGGAGAAGAAGTTTTGGCTCGTTGGACAGACTGTCGCTATTACCCTGCCAAGATTGAAGCAATTAACAAAGAAGGTATGTATTTGAAATGATCTTAGATTTAAAATGGGATTGATAGTAAAATTTAACTGTTTCTAATTTTAATTCTTGTAATTGTCACCACTGTTACTTCTGTCTGTCTTATACTTAAAGAATTGCCTGCTGATACTCTTTTCTGGGAGTATTTCATTGTTACATATCGTATAGAATAACATGATACATGATCTGCTTACCACCTAAATAAACTGTTTAAATTAGAAGTGTGAAAGTTGGTTAAAATTGTTCAGCTTTTAGTTGACAGGCTTATATTATGTGCATTTTATTTCTCCTTCTCTGTTTCCAGTTTGCCGGCCAAGTTATTTTTATGAGCAACTCATCCAGAGTGTTAGGGAAGGTTAAGGATACAGGAAAATTCAAGTCAGTTCCACTTGGAAATAAAATACAGTACAGTGTTTTTTCTGAGGAAAGAGTGTGGGAACTTATCAGTTTGAGGATTTCCTTTATTGCCTTTTTCCACTGCCCCTTTTTTCTTAGTTTCTGTGAATAATCGAAAGGGAAATTTCCCGATAGCCTTTGTGGCATCTAAACATTCATATTGAGCAGAAATTACTGAACTGACCAGTGATGTTGAAAATAACACAGGAATCGGGTGTGTTCGTGTGGCCAAGGCTAATAAATCTGTGGGGCGGATAATGTATTTAAGAAAACAGGACTTGAAGACTGAGGAATTTGGAAAGGCATGAGAATTGGTATTTAAATTAGTATTGGAACTATGCTTAACTATTTTATTTTTTAAATTTCTTGCTTAAAAATCTCATTTTAATAAGTTGTGAAATACTTGTAAGTATATTTCCAAGTCAAGAATACATCCATTTTCTGTAACAATTGTTTCTTAAACTTGACCACTCATCCGTTCTGTTTACTAAAGAAACACACATTGAGTGACAGCTTCTTTGCAAGAGAAGGATTTAAGTAAGGGGGCACTTTAAACCCGAAAGACAAACAGGTCAGCTAAAGAGGGAACGAAAGGCTTTTCTGACAAAAGAAATGAAATGGCATATTGCAGAAGAATAGAAGAGAGGCCCGCTGCTTTTTAGGAACTGCAAGACTTCGTTGTAACTGGAGTGAAGGAGTCCTTTGAAGGGAGTGGAATATCAGAAGAGCTGGGAGAGAGAAGCAGGGATCTGCGTATGGAATGTCTTGTAATCTTGCTACAGAATTTGACTTTTTTTGGAGGTGATGGGAAAGAAACGTGGAAGGGAGTTAAGCTGAGGATTTAAAGTAACAACAAACTTGAGAAAACATGGGAGGTAAGAGGAGACAAAAGAGGAAAACATTTAAAAAGAGACATATTAAAGAATGTTAGGTGTGAAAAAGCAAATCAGTGTTGTCTACCAAAAAATTATGATACAACTTTATAAAGCCCTATTCCAGTTTATTGTTTTAAGGAATTGAAATAACAGATATGGCTATGATTTTACTACCACCAGTCACCTTCCTCCTGCAGGAGTTGAGGGACGTCTCTGTTAGGTTTGCAGGTTACTTTTCCTTTCCTGGTATGCTTCACCTCACTGTGCACTTAGCTTCTTGAGAGCTCTGTTACGGAGCCCATGTTCCTGTGTCTAATACACACGGGCCCTCCAGGTTTATAGCATGTGGGCAGTCAGCAGCAGGTTGTGGAAATAAAGGAGGCAGTAACGGATCAATTCTTTGGGATAATTAATAGGATCCACCCAAAATAAAAGAAGATGATGCAAAATTAAACAACAGTCTCCATTTTATATTTTTAAAGTTCATGTTTATTTATTTTGAGAGAGAGAGATTGAGAGAGAGGAAGTGGGGGAGGGACAGAGAGAGAAGGAGACAGAAATCCCAAGCAGGCTCTGCGCTGTCAGCACCGAGCCTGATGCGGGCTCGAATTCATGAACTGTGAGATCCTGACCTGAGCCTAAGTCGAGAATCGGACGTTGAACCGACTGAGCCACTCAGGCGCCCCAGCACTCTGTATTTTGCTGAAGAGCCGTTTCTTTGAGTGTGGAGAGCTCTGAGATCTTGTCTCCGTGCTTATACTCCTTGGGAGTGTAGCATATACAAGTACACGTGTACACACACATGCAGTGCACTCAGAAGCAGAGCCGTCCTATTTTGTCCCATCCCATTTGTCCATGGGCATAGAGCACAGAAAATTGAGCTTGTATTCGTGGAAGAGTGGTGACGCTCACTGCAGTCTCTGCCGTTTTGGGAGCAGTTTGAGTGCACCCTTAGTGAAGTGTTAGCAGATACGATTTCTTTTTAAAATACCTCCACTAGGGGCGCCTGGGTGGCGCAGTCGGTTAAGCGTCCGACTTCAGCTCAGGTCACGATCTCGCGGTCCGTGGGTTCGTGCCCCGCGTCAGGCTCTGGGCTGATGGCTCAGAGCCTGGAGCCTGTTTCCGATTCTGTGTCTCCCTCTCTCTCTGCCCCTCCCCCGTTCATGCTCTGTCTCTCTCTGTCCCAAAAATAAATAAACGTTGAAAGAAAAAAATAAAAAAAAAAAATAAAATAAAATATCTCCACTAGAGGTCTTTATTTTGCGATTTCTGTATGTCCCACGTGACGGATGAGCCTGCCCGCCATATGCATTCTCTCCCCCCCCCGCCCCCGCCCCCGCCAAGGGAAGGCAAAGGCAAAGGCAAAGGCAAAGGCAAAGGCAAAGGAAGCCTTCAGGAGGCCTTCTGTTCACTGTAAGAGCTAAACAAAACCTGCAGTTACGAACGTTTACGTGTTTGTAATAAGTCTTAGAGAAGTTGAAGAGGAGGGGCGAATGTGTAAACCAGAGGGGACGGGGAAGTGTTCATGTCACGGGTGGGATTTGAAGAGCTGATCCTCAAAGAGTAGGCTGAGGGAGGAAAGGAGGAAGGCATCACAAGGGCGGCACCGGTGTGATCAGCAGCAGGGAGGGATGAGTGCCCGGCTGGGGTGGCGTGGAACCTGCTCTCATCTGGAAGGCGGTTCCTGCAGGAGGAGTTCAGGCCGTTGCAGGGTGGCGGTGGTCAGGTGTCAGGTGCACGTGGGGTTCGGTAGTCTCAACGCTTTCTCAGTGTCTTTACGTCCTGGTTACTCAGCTCATCAGTTTTTTTCAATGACTTGGGTTTAGAGCCTTATACGTGCAGCACTGTGAATTATGCTAATCACAGAAAATATGAAATGAAATGATGTTCACATTACAAAATTAAGGAAAATGTTTTGTAGATATATGTCTGGTTTGGTGCCAAGTTCAAAGCCAGTGATACCAATTATGACACTTACTGTTTTGACTTGTTTTGTAAAGGTCCAGTACATGTTTACTTAAAGGGGCTCTCAGCCATCATTTGTACAGGAAATGATAGAAAAACGTTGGAATTTCTTAAGTATAAAATCTACGTAATTTATGCTTTGTGGCAGTACTGACTTTTATTGACTTGAAAGCATGGACTCTGTGGCAAAACCTGAATATACCTTGTGGTTGTCATTAAGGCAGGGTGTTGAGTCCTGAAGGCAGGTTGACTTAGTGGGAAAGGCCTCGGGATGGGGGGTTGGTTACAGCTGTGCTGCTGTTCGGCTGACTGCTGTGGGTGCAGCGTTCAGCCTCCCTGGAAATCAGTGTTCTGATCGGCACAGGAACACTTTCATGTAGATGGTCTGTAAAGTATTTTCTGCTTAAAAGCCTGTGGATCTAATTCTTACTTACCAGTTCACTAATACGGTGAAAGGAATAATCTTTTCCTGAATAAATGATTTTTCCCCCATATCAGTTCTTTCTCTCTGTTACTTGGAAAGAAACTTCCAAAGAGAGCAAATGATAATTCTTATAGAAATATTATATATGTTTATAAGTAATGATCTTATTAGAAGGGAAGAGAAAATAAACTTCTCCAACTTCCTGCAGTTCTTAACGGGTGTGTGTGTGCAGTTACTGCGATCAGAGTGTGTTTCTTTCTGTTAGGGCGTTACTTGTTAGGTTTCAAGTGTTGCTATAAGATTCAGTTGTATTTTCTAATGATTCTGACTTGCTCCTGTTTTAGGAACATTCACAGTTCAGTTTTACGATGGAGTAATTCGTTGTTTAAAAAGAATGCACATTAAAGCCATGCCCGAGGATGCTAAGGGGCAGGTAAGAGAGTTCAGCATTCCTAGCTACCCAAAGGGATGTCTTCTTGAATGGTGACCAATCAAAAAAAAAAAAAGATACATATACATATATATATTAAAGGGAACTAATTGTAGGATTATGTGCTGATAGCCCCAAATAGCAGCAAGAAAAAGAAGCTTAGACTGTAAGATAAATTACACACTTGATTTTTGCTTCTTTGGCTTTAGACCTGCTAAAGTTATAGGTCACTAGTTTCTGTTCCAGGTGAAATCCCAGCATCCACTAAGCTGGTGTTGTCCTATCGACCCAGCTGGATCGTGGAACCAGTCTATGGGAAGTGAGGTAAGTGCCTTTTTTTAATTTTGTTTTGTTTTTCCTGGTATATAGTATCATTTAGAAAGTTAATTTTTAATATAAAATTTTATATTGAGTTTCTTATCTTCTTTCCTTTTATAAATCATAGTCATTCATCTTCTTTTAAAAGGCGCTTACCTGACACTCTGTAGGCTGCTTCAGGTAGGGCTCTGTGAGTCATAGGATGTAAGCAGTGTGTTAAAATGCCTTGTCACTGCTCAAAGCAAGAATGATGAACGGTAAGCATTGGAAGGAGAGTCTGGGATGAAGTGAAAACCATGATTCCATTGGTTGAGTATGTTTCCTGAAATACTGGAGAGAAAAGGTGCCACTAGAAATTTAAAATATTTTCTTTTATGTTCTGCTGTTATTTGGGATTTTCAGCACCTGGACCTACAATTAATTTTTAGAATTGAAAGTAACCTATGAAAGTGTCTAATATGGAAATACGCTTGTATTTGTTCCATACTGTGCAGTGAAAAATGTCATTCTGAAACGTGTTGAAATCATCTGGTCAGCTCCAGCCAAGTGTATACATTTAGTAATCTAGAAATGTGGATCACTGCAATAAAAAAAAAAAAAAAAAAAAAAAAAAAAAAAAAAAAATTCCTCCTATCTTCTGAGAAGTGTGATCGTTTTAAATCACCTGCTTTTTAAAAATTTAGTTTTGCAGTGATCAGCTGGCATTTCTTCCCCAGTTAATATGGAAATGCAGTTTAAAATGGAAATGCTTTTGACCGGGAAATTGCTTTGTGTCTTCCTACTTGTATGTATAAATAAAATGTTCCTTTAAGCATTCAGTGGTGTGATTTCTTGGTTACTGCATAGAAAGATTAAAACATCGGGAACTTAGTATGTGCCTGTTTAATTAAACAAAATTCTCTCTCTCTCTCTCTCTTTTTTTTTTTTTGTTTTTTTTTTTTGTTTTTTTTTTGCTTTAAGGCTATTCTTTATTATTCTGGTTATTCACATGTTTGTGAGATGGCACTAACTCTAAAACTTCATTTTTTTCCAACGTGAGATACTGAGCCAGTTTGGTTTGTGGTAAAATTACAAGTTATAAAAATTCATTGGATGTATTGGGTGTTTACTTTTAATAAGTAGTTACATTATGATGTGTGTGAACGTTAAAATCAATCCTGAATATAAACTATTGAAAGAACACGGGTAGCACTATATCCTTAATTTACATTTTTTCTTCATAATTTTTAATCACAAGCATGCTAAAAATATTTGTAGAATTGTTTTTTTATAAAACGCTCTTTTCAAAGTGTCTTTGTTTCCCAAAAAGTTTTGCCTTGTTTTCATGTAGGAAATAGACTAAGTCAGGTGTTGTGTGGGAAGTGCTGAGAGAATCCAACTTTGCATATATTTTCTAAATTTTTAGTACCTTGAGAATTCCTTTGTAAAGATATACAGTAAATTTATGAAACTAGCAAAGGATAAGTAGATGCGATATGGAAATACTCTTCTCTAAACTTCCTGTGGCTTTTTCTATCCTGTCTTGTCTTTTTGCAAGTGTGCTGATGTAAAGCTCACTAGTATTAAAGCTTTGCTCATAAGCTCCTGTACCATTTATGAAACTTTGTTCTGCATACATTATTTAATTGGGTTCCCATAGCAGATCCTTTGACATAGCTGTAACTGATACTTCTGTTTCACATCTGAGGAATTCAGAACTTAGGGAATTGAGTGACTGACCTAAAATTTCACTTAGGCATCATGTGCAGAGTAACTCTGAACTCCCATCTAGTTTCCAGCATGCTCCATATCTTGTGCTGCTCTGTTACCTACAGGGAACTTTGAAGCATATCATGAGTTCTAATTCGTGGAAGGATCACACCAATTATTAAAAGAAATTTTTTTTTTTTAACGTTTATCATCTTTGAGAGACAGAGAGAGACAGAGCATGAGCGGGGAAGGGGCAGAGAGAGGGAGACACAGAATCCGAAGCAGGCTCCAGGCTCCTGGCTCCTAGCTGTCAGAGCCCGACGCGGGGCTCGAACCCATGAACTGTGAGATCATGACCTGAGCCGAAGTCGGATGCTCAACCGACTGAGCCACCCAGGTGCCCCCACACCAGTTATTTTTAATAGTGAATCTTACCTATTTAAAAGTAGAAGGGGGGAGTGCCTGGCTGGTTCAGTCGGTTGAATGTCCGACTCTTGATTTTGGCTCAGGTCATGATCCCAGGGTTGTGGGATTGAGTCCTGTGTTGGGCTCTGTGTTGAATATGGAGCCTGCTTAGGATTCTCCCTTTCCCTCCCTCTGCCCTTCTCCCCAGCTCGCGCGTGCTCTCTTTAAAATAAAAAATATAGGGGCGCTTGGGTGGCTCAGTCGGTTAAGCGGCCGACTTTGGCTCAGGTCACGATCTCACACTCCGTGAGTTCGAGCCCCACGTCGGGCCCTGTGCTGACTGCTCAGGGCCTGGAGCCTGTTTCAGATTCCGTGTCTCCCTCTCTCTGACCCTCCCCCCGTTCATGCTCTGTCTCTCTCTCTCTCAAAAATAAATAAACGTTAAAAAAAAAAAATTTAAAATAAAAAATATAGATAAACCAAATAAATGACAAATAGAAGGGCAAAATAATGGGAGGATTCTTTAATGACACAATTGCATTGATTCCATGATTAACAAGTCACATGATCAGGAACTTTTAAAAAATATCGAATTGCACTTTTAAGAGATACAACACGAATCTCTCCCAGTTTGCTGTTCATTGGAAAGAGGAAAGAGCTGGAGTAGCATTTACTTCTGGCATTTTTCAGCATTTCTGTAACATTAACTTAAAATTTTTCCCACAACATGGAACCCAAAATTAAGCACTCTGCTCTTAATAAGACTGTACAGATCTCTGCTGAACTTAACACTTTGCTTGTCTGGTTGTACTTTTGTTTCTCTTTCTGCGTTGTTGATTACTGTCTGTTTGATTGGTGCTTTCTTTCTCTAGTACTGTAATGTCAGTCTCAGAGTTCAACCTAGACGTAGCACTTGGGCTCCCCAGACCACTTCCACCCCTTGTGCCTATTCGCACATATTCTGATCGTCATGACTTTGTCTAATGGTTTCCTTCTTGCTTGCGGTGCCCTTGGATGCCTTTCCTTCTGCCTTTTGCCTCAAAGATATCTGCTGTAGGGTTCAGCTCCTCTGTCATGTTCCCTGAAGCTTTCCACTAGCCTTTCTCTTACGTCACAATTAATCTTTTCTGTTTTGTTCTTCCGTGGTATTTTGTTTATTCCTCCACTGCCTCTCCTATCACACTGTCTTATAGTTCATTTTATTTGCCTTTCAATTCCTTACAGGTAGGACCAAAAAAACGTGGCTCTAAGTAAACATGGGGTTGGACAATATTGGTTTATCTGGTTTGTTTTGAGGTGTTTTTTGTTTTTGTTTTTTTGCCAACTAGAGACATAAATCTGTATTTTACACCTGTGTCTTAATTTGCTTTCTAATAAGACATGTACTGGGGACACAGTTTAAGTACTGAGGAAGATAGATGCTGGGCATTTTCCAGGGAGGAACAAAGATGTGGTGACTCCGGGGCTCATGCGTTTTAAGTCCTTTCGGGCAGCATCTTTTATAAATTGATGTCTCATGACTGCTTAGCGTGCTTCCTGGCACATGTAGCAAGGTGTTGAAGAGAACTTTGGTGAATGAATAGTTTGGTGCAATCATACGATATTTTTAGTTCATTTCAATCACGGGGGAGAGAAAGAAACACAGGTTCTCTTTGTTGGTTGTTTATTTTTAGTGGCTTATTGTCTTCACTATGTATTTTCAAGACTGAGCAACCGTCAGCCTCTATTGACTAATGATTGAGGTTTGTTAATATAACTTGTGAAGTAAATGTATTTGATGTTGAGAAGTAGTTTTTAGTTACTTGGACTAAAAATTTAGTGTATTACCCATTTTGGTTGAATTTGAGCTGGTCTCTTTGAAGCTTAGTGGCCTTAGAGGAAGATTAACTGTAGAAATACTACAAATACTTGTTGTAAGAAAATTTTCTCGGTTGTGAAAATTTAAATGTTAGCACCACGTTTCTTACATAGTTCCTTTTTTTTTTTTTTTAAGAGAGGCAACGAGCGAGCACGGGGGAGGGGCAGGATTGGGGGGAGAGAATCTCAAGTGGGCTCCACGCCCAGTGCAGAGCCTGATGTGGGGCTTGATCTCTTGACCCTGAGATCATGACCTGAGCTGAAATCAAGAGTCGGATGCTTAAGACTGAACCACCCAGGAGCCCCTCTGTATTTTTTACAATAAGCATTTTTAGTTTAGAAAAATTATGTAGCAGTTAACTTTAAATATAAACACAGGAAGAATAAATACTTGCATCGCAGAAGAGTGGTAATCAGCACAAATCCAGGAAGTCATAGAGTGAGGGAAATTAGTCTGGAGCCTGACCGTATGTATGTATGTAAGACACCTTGGTCAAATCACGCGGCTCTTTTTTTCTTTAGTAATATTAAGCTGTTGTGATACGTTGGTGTCCGAGCTGTCAAAGCTTTAAAAATTAATTAAATCATATCTTGAATTCTGTGAAATTATCCATACTTCTTCTTCCAAGAATAGTAATTTGTTCACTGGGAGTGCATTTCTTTTAACCTTTGCAGAATTGCAACATAAGCATTTTTCTCTCATTTCTTCTACGATTTGTTGTATTCAGAAAAGAAACACAGTTTACCATTTAAATCTAAAGTACTGAGACAGAATGTCATGTAGTGTTCCATATTTGTTAGAGGGTGTCCCTTTTATTTTAGATTTTATTCCTCTGAAAATAATAGCGAAGGAATATTTGTTATTGAATATTTACCTGTTTCATGAGGGGTTATATAATCCCACTAAGCCATTAGATCATTAAATTTGATAATTACCACGTTGATGATTTATCTTGTAAATGTAATTAATTCAATTTTTATATTTGTGCGAGAGTAGCTTTGAAAATGTGATACGTGTTTTTATTAGTGTAATTAAATTTTGATTAATTTTTTAATACTTTACGTGTTTTGTGTTTTTCCTTTGGAGGATTGGATAGCTTTAGTCAAAGCAGCTGCTGCAGCTGCAGCCAAGAATAAAACAGGGAACAAACCTCGCACCAGCGCTAACAGCAATAAAGACAAAGATGAGAGGAAATGGTTTAAAGTACCTTCAAAGAAGGAAGAGACTTCAACTTCTATAGCTTCATCAGAAGTTGAGAAGAAGGAAGATCTGCCCACATCTAGTGAAACATTTGGTACAAAATATGTTCTTACGTTCATTCCTATGGCAGGGTGAACTCTCATAGTGAGTAAGCCAGAACCCCTGGCTACCTGTGATTTGGGGGTGTGGTTAAATGATTGGGCTCCGCCCCCCCCCCCCCCAGCATAAATGGTTAACTTTTGTAGCGTGTAACAGAGCCAGAGATAACTGGTCTAACATGGGTACTGGATAATAGGTGCCCTCAGTATTCTTGAATAGAAATGGGTTCAGATCTTGACTTTTAAGTTCTTGTTAGTAGGCTTTGGAGTTTTTGTTTGTTTTGTGTGTGTGTGTGTGTGTGTTTTTTTTTTTTCTTTAACTTTTTAAATGCTTCTGCATGTGTTTTGGTATGTAATATGGGAAAAGCAGTAAGTCTTTTCTTCCTGCTTTTCTTTCCTAAAGAATAACTACTTGGTAGTTTTTTATTTCTAGTTTTTCAGTCTGGAGAAATTTGTGTTGTTTGAAGTTCTATGTCAAGCACTGGGTTAAAAAAAAAAAAACATAAGTGCAAAGCATTTTTACTATTTTGCTATTTAAAAAAAATATCATGTGTTTTAACTTTGGATTCTAGATAAACTCTCATATATGTATTCTATTAAAAGTAGGACTTCATGTAGAGAACGTTCCAAAGATGGTCTTTCCACAGCCAGAGAGCACATTATCAAACAAGAGGAAAAATAACCAAGGCAACTCATTTCAGGCAAAGAGAGCTCGACTTAACAAGATTACTGGTAAACTACAATGATTCTTTTGGTTTGGGGGGGAATGGAGGGGTTGATTTTAGGGTAGTTTGTTTTTAATAAAGCAAAATGTATCTTTTGTTTTAGTGTAACAAACTGCTTAACGAGGAAGACAGGTACTTTATGGTTCTTCAGAGTCAACATCCTTCAACGCTGTCAGCTTTTTCTATTGTGAAATGTGAAAACTGTCACCTATTTTCTGCCTACCTCACAGGGATGTTGTGAGGGTGGATAGTATCAAATGAGATAAAATTCCATAGTTTTTAAATCACCTTGGTGGCAGGAGTAGTTTCTATTAAGGCTCAGATCATCTGCTATTGTCAGCCTGGTGGGGTCACAGTCTCTGAGGTTCTAAATGTTACTACACAAACCTTCTTACTCTTGCCTGGGCTCATTAAAGATGGCAGCAAGTATGGCTGGAAAGATGGATGCTCCACTGAATTCAGGTCCTGAATCTGTTTTCCCAAAGTAAAAGTACTTCTAGAAGTTTCTTACACTTTTCATCTTCAGGTTGGTTCCTAGAATCTCATCTTGTTTCTCGATGCCTGCCTTAATCTAGGAAGTGTAGGGTGTTAGGACGCCGAGAACTCTGGCAGTCTTGGCGTGGTTAGTGGTCATGGGAAAAGCGTTGGAAGCAGGGTCAGTCATACCAGGGCCCCATCACTTGCAGGGCCTGTTCAGCCTAGCGATTCTAGCGATTCTTTACAAAGAAATTGTAAACATGTTTAATTTTTCTGAGTATATGTTAAAAGGAGAGTTAAGATACTTTTAATTATTCAATCGTATGTTCTTATTTTAAGGACAAAATGGTTTTTAGTGTCTTTGGCCTAATAAAGCTGTATAAACCTTTGTTGGCATTCTTTTAAATAATTTGAAGAAGCTTGGTTTCACTGTCAGATCGAAGAATACATGTCAATTAAACATTCTGACCATTTCCTGAAGAATAGAATCCCATTGAAAAGTGACTGCAGCTGAGGGTTCTTTAGAACCACTGTTTTATCGCAGTGTTCTTCTTAAGTGATTATGGTTGGTTTCAACAGGTGAGAATATTTAGTCTTTCCATTTGTTATTATTTTTGTGCCTTTTGCTGATAAAGGATATTTTGGCCCCAGGACAGGAAATACTTCAAATCAATTCACCCATTCCACCCTTTCCTTAGAAACTGTTAGCTTCGGAGAAAGCCAGGATGTCATCCGGGGATTGTGGTTCCGATGGCAGCTTGAGACTTCAGTTTGGCCCTAGCAGAATGGAAACTAGGGCTGCGTGCGCAGGGGGAAGAAGAGGAAAGCGCTTCCGGCTCCGGTGCTACCAAGACTAGAGCCACGCTCCCGCAGGGGCCAAGACCAGGGGCCAAGCCCGAGGGAGATGGACACGACCCTGACGCTGACGCTGACGCTGACGCTGACTCACTCGGTGTGCCTGCCAGCTTACCAGCCTCGAGGGTTTTCCTGCAGTCTGGATAACCTGCTTTTAGTTTCGGGCAGTGTATTCTTACATGTGCCTTACTGAGAAGTTCAAGCCCGGCATTTAAAGAAATAAAAGAAGAAAATAGCTCAGTCCACAACAATGTGTTATTTACATGTGGCCTTGAAAAGACAATAGTGGGGAAAAAATCATTTTACCTTGGGTCTCAAGGAAGTTCTAATATTGGTTGCTTAGTAACACCAGGTGGAGGGACTTTGTCCTTACTTCCCCTTGGGAATCTCGAAAGAACAAGTGATAGTTTGGCAGCAGTAGAAAAGAGTAAGATTTCACGGATGTGAAGCCATCATGGTTTTTTTCCTTTACTTTGAAAATTTGAATGTATGGTAATCCTTTTAATAGTTCATCTGTTTCTCTTTTCATGTTGCAATTATATCCTGCAAAAAGACAATAGATCTTATAAGACTATTTTCAACAGTTGAAACTCAGGCTTGCCTCTGTGTAGTACATTTCATTTGCAGACCATACAAAGAGATGAGAACAATACAAGATAGTGATTTTGTTACGGAGTTTTGGTGTGTTTTAAATTTATGAAGCTCACTTCACACGTGTCTGTCTGCCCCTTTGCTACTGAGAGGAATAGGGCTGTGATCATGGCAGCATCTTAGCTGCTCTGATGTGTTTCCCCCCATTCCACATTTTTATTTTTGAAATCTTTCTACTAGCTGGAAATAAGCAGATCAGCCACTGGATAAATTTAATTCCCGTCTTCACTCTTTCTGTTCACTTCCCGATGGTCACACGCTATAGAGATTCTAAACGTGAATTCTGTTTAGGGGATGGTACAGGATGGCTTTTTTTGAAGTTTCCAAATAAGTACATACTGAAACGGTAGTGGCACAGTGTATAGATGTCCTTCCAGAGACTTGTTTTTCATTACGTGATATACCTTATTGATAGTTAATATACTTTATGCATACTGATTTCGAATTGACGATTTTACGGAGCGAGTCAAGAGCCCATGCTTTGGGACAAAGTTGCAAGCAGACTGACTGCAAGCAAATTTGAGTAGATTTTAAAATACAGATTGACAAGGGAGCGAAAGAAGAGACATCAGCAATTGGCACATGGTCTGATTCTACAACTGGTAGGAGTTCCTAGAATTTCAGCCAGCTGAAAGTTTGTGCAGCTTAAGGAACTTTACAAATAATTTGAAAAAACCCAGAGGTTGGAACGGGCCCGTACATGTTACTGATAATAATGTCAAGAATATTCGATTCTGTTTCCCACAGCAAGAATGTTGTGTTTGAATCCTCTGTCTGAATTCCCTGTGTTGGAATCCCTGGTTGAAAAGGAGAGCACAGATTTAACGACTTCCTTTGTCCTTCCTGCCATTTGCCATCCCAGGGTTCTCTGGCCTCTGTTCTGTGCATTCCTATTTAGCAGAGGCAGACAACTGTGATATTGCAGCCGAAGTACAGTATTGAGAAATTGCAACTTTGTGGGTGGGACTTAGGACTGTTTGGTATTCTACTTGTATCTGATATTTGCGTAACATCTTGCAGCTGAATAATGCATTCTGTTAAGATCGTTACAGATATGTTCTTCTGGAGATGGACCTGTTTAGTGATATATAATCAATAAGCATTTTTTCAAAGAAGTAAAACTAACTTCATTTGTATCTCTTTCCTTTCACTTAATTCTTCTCATTTTCTAAGGATATTGCATTTTTACCCAGAATATTCACAGGCCAGGAAAAACAGATTTTCGACAGCCTCTTAAGGCAGCAGTAATCAGAGACCTTTCAGAGACTTTTATTTTTGTCCTCTTGTTTGTATCTGGTACCTCTTTTGTAAGATAGCATGTATACAAAGTGTGAAAAGCTTTTTCTCGATCATATTTGAGGCATTTGAATTCACTGAATTCCAAGTATTGCAATTTTCTAATCTAATTTTGAGTAGTTTTTATTAAATGCGCCATTACTTTTTATAAGAACATTACAAAGCTTTATTTTTCCATCACAAACCATTAGGTGGGAGTTGCTTTTATTAATTGGGTCTATAATATTCTAATTTAAATTTGCAAATATGTCTCAATTAGTTTCTTTTAAAACTTGTAGTACCTTATTTTTGTAATTTGAGATCTCTTCCATGTATTGATGAGATTTAAAAAAATATTTCTACCACCTCTATGAAAGGAAACAAAATATAAGATACATTTAATAGATTGAATAGCCAAATATTTGTCCTGTTTGAGTAAACATTTGAAGTGGAAACTCTACTCATTTCCCTGCAAAAGGACTTGGTTCCCTAATTATTTTTCTTTTTATTTCAGTAGTATTGATTCTCAAAAATATTAGCTAGAGAAGAAAAACCTAATGAACGTGGTTTTAAATGTTAAGGAAATACACCATGCTACATCTGTCTCAGTCATCTAAAACTATGTTCAGATATGATATTAATATAATCAGGATTGAATCTATGGTTTGTAAGATTTTGATAAAATTATTTCTATATTGGCTTTCCCCCCACCCCCGTTTAAATCTACATTTAATATCGTGTGAGCAAACTATATAGTTACCTCAGACTGGACCAAATACATTTTTAATATCAGTCACTGATCTGTCAGAAGTCAAAATCATTGTGTAAAACAATAGAAATGGAAAGCCCCTTTTCTATTTTAAATTACAATTCTGGGTGCTGGATATTCAACTTTCTAGAAAAGGAAAGGTGCTTTTGGCCTAATTTAACACTTGCCTGTAGTACTGCTTTAAGGATACGTCTTTAATATTTGAATTCCTACTTAGATCACTTAGCATCTTCAAGATAGTTACCTGAAAAAGCCAAGAGATGTTGCCACGTGGATAGCTCAATGTTATGTGGCATCTGGGGGCACTTTTTCCCCCTCCTATTAACTACACTGTATGGACCGCTTCAGGAGTCTAGGTGGTATAATTGCTGCAGTAAGTTAACTGTTACGTTGCTGATTGTTAAACAGGCTTCCTTTGAAGCAGAGGTTTTGTGTAGCCAACTTTGTTTAAAATTTTTTTTTTTTTTTAACATTTATTCATTTTTGAGATTGAGAGAGGCAGAGCATGAGCAGGGGAGGGCAGAGAGAGAGACACAGAATCTGAAGCAGGCTCCAGGCTCTGAGCTGTCAGCACAAGAGCCCAACGCAGGGCTCGAACTCACAGACTGTGAGATCATGACCTGAGCTGAAGTCGGACACTCAACTGACTGAGCCAGCCAGGTGCCCCTTGTGTAGCCAACTTTGTAATTGGTAGAAATGATTTTTGGGGCCCTTTTATGTGCCCAGTGGTCATAAGCAAAGACATACTTGTATTATACAAGCGTTATAAACTTGGCTATATTGACAGTGCTCGTCAGGTGCTTAGTAAAGAATCTTGAGCAAGTAAATGCCTTTGTTTGTTTGTTTATTTAAAAAAATTTTTTTACATTTATTTATTTTTGATAGAGACAGCACAAGTCGGGGAGGGGCAGAGAGAGAAGGAGACAGAATTTGAAGCAGGCTCCAGGCTCCGAGCTGTCAGCACAGAGCCCGACGTGGGACTCGAACCCACGAATGCAACATCCTGACCTGAGTCAAAGTCGGATGCTTAACTGTCTGAGCCACCCAGGCGCCCCTAACTGCCTTTAATTTAGAAATTAAGACAGAGTTTTATTGTCTTATAACGTTGATTTATATTCTCTAGGTAAAATATTCTGTCCTCGAAAATTGAGAATTAGTGATACACATTGGAGAAAACTGGAATTCCTAAATTATTTCATAGTTTATAGAATGAGGCTCTATAATATTAAGTTGAATGTAGGAAGGACCTGCACTTTTTCCCCCATTAACAGAACAGATCCATCAGTGTTTTTGGCACTTTTGCAAGAAGATAAGGTACAGCAGGGTATAGGGATGAACCCATAAAGCTTTGGTCAAAGGATCCATGTGGAAATAAAAATTGGGAGTCGTTGTTTAGCTAATAATATAACAACAACAAAGTCTTCTAGATGTTTGGAAGGATTTCTCAGATCTTGATGTTAACTCTGTATTTCAGTTGTATAGACAAAGCCCATGTTATGAGTATTAGTTAATCTAACCAATCTTCGGTTTCTAGACATTAAGTCGTAGAATTAAAATGTGTATGCGTATGTTTTTTTTAAGGATATCTTTAGGAGTAATTCTTTTTTTTTTTTTACAGAGAACTGATTGTGTAAAAAACTCAAGTTCTGATTCAGTCCCTTGAGTCATTATAAAGGGTGTTCATGTTTTTGACAAGTAAACTTTATATTAAATCCTCTATATTAAAAAGGATGGGGGATTTCAACTGCTAACATTTGGGGGAAGTTGATTATATCAGAAGCCAGTATTTTTTCTAATAAGCAATTTCTGTACAATTTTTCTCAAGGTTTGTTGGCATCCAAAGCTGTTGGGGTGGATGGTGCTGAAAAAAAGGAAGACTTCAATGAAACGGCTCCAATGCTGGAGCAGGTATGAAATGGTAGCATTTGATTTTTTTCAAGGTTCCCAACTGGAATGATCACGGAGCTATAGTATCCACGTAATTGAAATTGCCCTTTTGATTGGATATGGGAATAGGAAGCTAATTAATTGATGATATATTTTTAACTCTGCCTTCTCCGAGGTACGCAGATAAACTACAGACTTTGCTAGTGTTTGTTTTCGGTAGACTGGCATTAAAGCCTTTATCTCCAACATTTGAAGGCCTGGAGACAGGCATCCCAGGGTATAAGCTTCCAGCTGGATCACCTTTAACTAGCTTACAAAAAGACCCTTACACAAATACTTTTCATTTGTGAGTTAAAACAGGGTTTTTGACATCTAATAAAGCTTCTTTTGTAAGAAGTTTCTTTTATATTGTAACAATTGGTGTTGTTAGACTGACTATGTGTTTTATGAATTGATCAATGAGCCATACATTTTTGCTAGGATGTATATTTTAATAACTACAAAAAAAAGAATTTTAAAAAACTATTAAGGGTCTGTCTTTAAACCACCTAATAGAGGAATTTAAAAGTGAAGGTTGCAGTTGCTAGATTTTGCCTTGGCTACCTTCAGATTCCCACAGTACCTGTACATAATGAACTGTGCATGCTTTTACATTCTCTAAGGGCTTAACTTCTTGGGCACTGTAAGACTATAAGAACACAGTAATAGCCATAACTGGATTTCCTTGGTTCTCCTGTTTTAAAATCTGAGCCTTAATGTAGTTTTAATATATCCTTTTTGTATTAATTTAATTTTCTTTATTAGTAGCCTAATAAAGAAGACTTTAAAATGAGTATCTTCTGCTCTTCTCTCTATGCGTTTTAAAAAATAGTCCAAATTTAATTGATATTGTATTGAGTTTTTCAGGGTTATTTTAGGCCTGATTTGATAACAGTGCATTGTTTTGGTGCCTCCATTAATGTTGTATGAAATCAATGGTCTTTTAAATTGATTAATATGTCAGCGAATCATACCTTCTGATTTTCTGTGATCATCAAGCGGTTAAGTCTCTGCCGTTATTGTCAGTATATCAACCAAATTTTAAGTGATTTTTTTTTTTACTGTGTATTACTATATTCAACGTCCCATATATAACAATATTTTGTATTTTCACCACTGTTTATGGTATTCTCAGAATGCAATAAATCAGGGACTTGGTAATAAAATGTTTCTGGAAAATTCATTACAATGTCAATCTTTCATGATGCACAATCCTGCTGCGGTGAATGTGATTGTGAAGATTACTTCTTCTATGTGGAAATTAGTGGCGAGGGCAGGGCTCATTTCAGAGAGAAGTACAGAAAACAGCATTCGGAAATTGAGTTTATAAAAAAAAGAAAGACAAATTGAGTAACTCGGCTGTTTGTTTGCATCATTAAGGCATTTTGAGAGTCCTTGCCAGTTTTGTAACAAAGAGACCAACAGTCATTACTGAAAACTTTGTAAATTATTTTAGATTTTTAAGGAACATGATGCTGTTCCCTCATTTTTTGTCATTCAGATTGATATCATTGTGAAAATGTTTTGTAACCCAACAATTTTTATGCTGTTCGCCCTGCTTCAAAGTTAAAAAGCCGAGTTATAAAACTCTTAATTACAAGTGCTGGTATGAACGATAGACTTAAAGGAGAGGCATCGATTGTCACTAACCTCTGTTGTCTTAATGAGTAAAATCATGAATGTCACTCATGACATAGATTTATAACAGGCCTATAGCCAGAACTTACTGTGCTAATGGATTTTCTTTATTGACACTTAAAAAAAAAATCAAACTGTGGTCTTGAACCCCAATTCTCAGATATTAATTATAGATTATTTAATTGTATTAGGGAATTGTCATGTTATATTTACTTTTGGATAAAACCTGCATTAGATGCATAATTCAGTAAGTTTTTAAAAATGTTAATTTGTCCTTGTTTAGAAGTTAAGCACCTTATCAAGATACTAATTTCAGTTTTCAATCTTGTTTCATAACTTTGTAACTTGAGAGTAATGGATGCTGTAGTGATGTCTCTCACATATGTGAAGATGAACAATAAAATTGTTTATTTACAAGTAATGGCTCTAATTACTTTTCTGGCAACACCTTTTATGATAAGTTTAGGACTCCTTTCCATTTATGGAGTACTTTTTCAAACGATTAATCTGCACTTGTACACACGCATGATGAGTAAGTTCAAGACTAGAGATGATGACAACCGATTGAAGGGGATACTTGCCACCAGCCCTTTCTGTGGCGCGTCCAGCATGCCACCTGCAGAGCATCGCGAGGTGCTCTATCTACTTGGCACCAACTGTGCATCAGACTTGGAGCACCTTGTCCGTTAGCGGGAGCAGAAAGCTGTTTGGTCCCCAGACGATGCTCTTTCATGTTCCAGAGAACCACAGACTGCTGACCTGATGGTCATCCCTCATAAAAGATAAGGAAGTAAAAAGGTTTCCTGGGGACAAGCATGCTGTTCATAGCGTTAGCAATTTAATTCTGTAGAGAGGCCTATCTTAGCATAGATTATTTTTTAAAAGGGTATCTCCTATTTTGTTCTCAGATCCGTGTATCAGAAAGAGATACAGCCCAGGCATTCCAACACCATAGATTGTAAATCCATCCAATGTGGCTATTCTCTGTTGTCTTTGGACACATTCACATAAATTTCTATATAATAGGGAGGAAATTATACTGCCAAATGAACCAAGATATCCTTTACGAAAGAACTGACAAAGTTCTAATTTTTTTTTAAAAGTATCAGTTGGCAGGAGGAAGGTAAAAATTCTCATCTAAGAATGCGACGTATTTTGTTTTTAAATCCAATGTTTTTAACTTACACTTGGTTTTACTCCTTGGTTTTTTTTGTTGTTGTTGTTGTTGCTTGTTTTGTATTGTTTTTTAGTCTTTTAACTCTGTACTGCTGGTGGCTTTGATTTCATGACGCACTATGCTTATGAAACTCTAGCTTTCAGCACTAAAATGAGTTAAAGATAATGTTTCGTTAATTTGGTCATTGTTTTCCTGTTGAGATCTTTCTTTAAAGGGAAGCTGTCTACTTAGACTTCTGCAGCCAACTTGATAAAGGAAATTGTTTTTTAACAAAACATCTAAAAGTCAGAAGCTTAAATGTATTCAATTAAACGCATCTGAACAGTGGAAATGCTGTTTATTTACCTGTTATCGACGTAGTTGGTAATTAAGTTTCAAAAGAGGTGTATTTCAGTCTAATACCGTGCAAATATTTGTCCGTCAAGCTGTCATTTTATATTCCGAAAATATGATGAATAATACAGTTTTTTAAAAAAACCAAATGTAGACCAAAAGCCGACAGCATCCCTTTAAAGATAGCCTATTCAACTTTTAGTTAATAATTTGTGGGGTTCTTTTTGGTTTTTCATTTGTAATAGAAATGTTACATGTTGCTTAACAATGTTTTTGGATACTAAAGTTGCTTAACAATCAAAATAGAATACAAGAACAAAAATGAAGAAACCAAAATAAAAATATCAATTTTTTATTATTTATTCAGGCGATTTCACCTAAACCTCAAAGTCAGAAAAAAAATGAAGCTGACATTAGCAGTTCTGCCAACACTCAGAAACCTGCACTGTTATCCTCAACTTTGTCTTCAGGGAAGGCTCGCAGCAAGAAATGCAAACATGAATCTGGAGATTCTTCTGGGTGTATAAAACCCCCTAAATCACCACTTTCCCCAGAATTAATACAAGTCGAGGATTTGACGCTTGTATCTCAGCTTTCTTCTTCAGTGATAAATAAAACTAGTGAGCACAGATTTTTAAAAAATAGTTACTTATCCTATAAGATACATTAAAAACAGTTTGATTGTAGTTATATTGTATTTTTATGAAGTTGCTTTTTAAAAATTCAGACTTAAGTGGATCTGACAGGGAAGGCTTAAAACTATTTTCAGGGGCAAAAACCATATACATTTCTGACTGATTGACTGTACAGAGACTGTACATTTCATGGCGCCAATTCTGTAGTTTGACTCTCCTCGATTAATAGTAATCCGAGCACAATGAGAGGCCTGATTCATTACAAAAAACCAAACCAAAACAAGGAGCTAGGAAGAGACTCACACTGAATGTTTTTCCTCAACTCCTAAGACTGTTCTCATGGGTAGATTTAGCTCTTGTTCCCAGTTGTCTGTAGCCCCCCGCGATAGGTTTTATTCATTCTTGTTCTGGGATTTGGAGTTCAGACTTCCGTGTATTCTTACTGAGGAAGGGAGAAGAACGCTTCCTTCATCTTATTTTTAAAGATTTTACTGTTTCAGTACCACTGATCTTTCAAGAGTTAACTTAGTCTTTTTAAAAATAGCCTTCCAACGTGGGTCTGGATATATAAACGGAGATTTGTATGGACCCTCTGCTTCTCCGGTTAGTTCCGTATTCTCAGTTAGAGACGGTTTGAAAAGCTGTGACCTGGGAAGTCGCTGGATAAAAGATACTTCCCTTCGGCAGTTCGCACAAGCGAACTAGTATCCTGATTCATAAGTGAAGACACATGTTCTTAGGAACTCTTCCATATCATGTTTTCTACAACAATTAAAAATGTTGGCATCGAGGAGACTTTCATCAGCCAAATATAGTCTCTTTCTCCCAATTCAGTTGCCATATTTTCTACCAAACTGTATTTTTGAATTTTTGAGCAGGCGTTGGTATTTTTTTTTTGTTTTGTTTTGTTTTGGTTTTGTTCTTTTTAATAAATGGGTAGGGGGAATGGGAACAGAAAAACTCAGTCGTTTCCTCGTAAGCTTCATTTCATTTTGGCATTTACCACGAAATAACATAATGCTGTTAGTAGTCACCACAATGTCACGTGACATTGATAAGTATTTTATTTTGAAATGGTTTTATATTTTGGTATTAATAGCCACAATGTTACAGCAATTGAATTTTATTCTTTCATTCTTTTTTCAATTATCACCATGTCTTTTTTTTTATTTTGATTTTTGTAATATGATTTTTAAGTACCCAAAGCATCAACCACTCTTATTCCTCCTTCTCAGTCAACATGAGTATATTGGCCTGTGTAATCCTGTCTGTTCTAAATTCTTCAACATGTTTACATGCCCCGTAGAAAGAAGAAAACTAAAGGTTAAAAAAAAAAAAACCCACAGATTTCCAAACTTTTGTGTTACCTAGCTAGAAGATGCTTAATTGACCCACCAAATTAGTTATTTAAAAAGATAAAAATGAGGGCAAGAATGAACAGTGTTACATCTTAAAGTCCTCATTATTTGCCTATAATAAGTACTTAACGTTGTTTGTGTTCAATTTTTTTTAATGAATCAGGCCCAAAATGTTTATAAAAATCCATTTGTGGGAACGAGGGTGGGATAAACTTAATGTACGTTAGTTTTATTTTGGCAAGTAAAGCACTGACTCTACAATGCATGTCAGATTTTTGTCACCTATGCCCCCTGCCTTTTTGTCCCTTAGAGTTTCTAGATTTGTAATATAGCTAAAGAGATCTATCTATCTATCTATCTATCTATCTATATATATATATTTAATTTTTTTTAAAATCTCAGCTATACAGACTATTTTCCCAAAGGAAGAATGGCAACTAACACCATGATCTACAATTAGAGAATTAACTGTAGACCGTCACTTGGGAAACTACCTGAAATCCATGTTCCATGTTATTTTCTTTTGGTTCTAGTAGGCCTTAGACCTTAGAAGTTTTGATTAGCTTTTTGTGAATGAGGGCACAGTTTTTGCCTTTGATTACTTTTGGAACATGCTGTTCCTTGTGGATACCTAACACCATCAGAGGGCAGAATTTGAATCATTTTTCCCATTTATCTCCTTAAATATTATAAGATGATCCTGGCATGTATCTGCTTCGTGAACATTGAAGATCTTTTTCTAGGTTCTCCACAGCCTGTGAACCCCCCTAGACCTTTCAAGCATAGTGAGCGGAGAAGAAGATCTCAGCGCTTAGCCACCTTGCCCATGCCTGATGATTCCATAGAAAAGGTTTCTCCTCCCTCTCCAGCCACTGATGCGAGCATGTTCTCCATCAGTTCTCAGAATCAGCAAGAGTCTTCAGTACCAGAGGGTAATGTATATTGATTTCGTATAGAACCAAACATGAAAGAGATAAAGATTATTAAAATATTAAGAAGTTACTACTTTTTCCTTCTTCCATCTTTTAGACTTAAAAGCACTTTGTTTACAAATATTTATTGAGTGCCCTTAGGTCAGGCGAGATTTGACGCAGATAACGTTTTACTCCACATTGATACTTACCGAGCCCGTCGACCTCTGTTAATATTCTGTTACATCCTTTATCTTGTGTAGTGCCCGATGTTGCACATTTGCCACTCCAGAAGCTGGGACCCTGTCTCCCTCTTGACTTAAGTCGTGCCTCAGAAGTTTCGGCACCGCCCGCCCCAGAGCCCGTTTGTCCTCATGAATGTCCCAGGCCAGAAAAGGAAGACACACAGATGCTTACGAATCCCTCTTCCAGAGCGATAGCTGATGGAAAAGGAGCTCCAACAGCATCAGGTAAAAAAAAAAATAATAATAAAAATAAAGATTCATTTTATAAGGAGGTAGGCTTGCACTTAGAGGGCATAGACGCTCTGATGTTTGCTTCCATGACTTTAACATGTAATTCCTCTTCATAGATGCTCTTATGTAACGTCTACGGGAGAGAGGGTTTCACTTTAAAGTTCTTTTGTGCAATCATTTACCATCAGCCTCCCTGGACTGACTTCCTGTTTTGTCATTTTAATCTACTTCCTTCTCCTTGCTTCTTTCTTATATCCTGTTTTTGTTTTTAATTAAAAATAGGAATTGTTAGAGGTGACTGTAATGACATAAGTTCTTGGGTTTGAAGCCAGAAAATACCTAATGGGATCAGTATTCAGGTTTAAGGGTTTGAATAGAATTTAGTATTTAAGAAACACGTGGCTTAAATTTAACTGTATACCTTAAATATAACCCCCTATTTGCAGGCACACTCTCCGTAATTTAAATGTCCTTTGTTACGAAGTCATCTGGGGAGCCTAATGTGCAAAAGCAGCCAGTAACACATTTTGGGGACAGTTTTATGATTCTGTAACCTATGATATGGTTACATTATTTTATTTGGAAGTCTTACAAGATTTTAACCTCAACCAAAGAGTATATATGATTTTAAAAAGGTGAATACTAACTTCATATGTTCTTCTAGTAAATTACTAATTTGGAGATAGAGGGATGAAGGAAGTCGGAATTGAGCCAGTTCAGAGCTGGAGAAAAATGTAAGACTGTTTCTTGATCTGCAGCCCAGAGCATGAGGGCTGATTGTTTTAATAGCACCCACCCTGGAGTCACTTTATCTACCAACTCATCAGATGAAGCAGAAAATAGAGCTTGCTCTTTCCTGGTGGTGGCGCGTATGAAAATAAAATGATTGAAGTAACTTACCTTTTAGATTACTGCCTTTACCTTCTTTCAAAGTAAAAATGTAATATTAAATACACAGTTTTCTGCAGTTTGATTTTATCAATAAAGATTGAAGTCATTTTGTTTCTGTATTTTGTTTAAAAATTCCAGTGCCAAATGTGAAGATTTATAGGTTTTGAAACATCTGTCATTTCCCAAGTCCCATCCGTTGCCTTTTGACTTTTTTCCAAGCCCCTTCTATCCATAGGGTAATTTTTCTTTTCCCTTTTCCCACAAAATTCCTGAATTACCTTGACTCTCTGAGATATTTTTCCTGATGAAGGTCTTACACAGTTGGTTAATAATCTGGACTTTTTCACGGTACTGAATATATGAAAAGTATGTTAAAGTTATAATCTATATCCATTGGGGAAATTATTTTCAGATGTGCCTTTGACGATATTTGTATTTTCTTTAAACATATACATATATCTTCTAATCGTAACGTGACTGAAACGTAGACCAATGTAAACAGCTATATAATAATGAAGAGTGATTTTAGATTACATATCCTAAAATGTCAAAGTAGTGATGGCACATGAAGTGGAATCCTTGGTTGAAATGACTTTACTTCTAACCAGAGTGTTAGCCTCGTCTTTTGTTAGAATTTCTAGCTTATTTGCGGACTGACTTACTGCTAATTACGACTGGGTGTGGTTCTTGTTTCTCATAATAGTGTGTGTGGGGGGGGAGGAAGGCATAATATTCTTCTCCCTTTTAAGACTTAGAGATAACTTGGAGAAAATCAAAGTAGTAGGACAGAATTCTGGAAAAGTGAATGGTAGAGAGGAGCTGAGATTTGCAAGACGACGAATTTGTAGATGCGTTGACGGGTGAGGATCTTCTGGGTGTGCCCGACAGCTGGCAACCTTCATTGCTTAAATCGAGGAAGTGCATGGCTTAAATGTTAATTACTGAAAGGCCGTTTATTAGAGGGTTGAACACAGTCATAGTATTCGAATGTGGCATGATGGGGGTTCTGATTTATTTCTGTTAACTTCTTGTAATTTTTTTATTTTTGGAGGAAGTAGTGAAATTCAGGTCGTATTCTAATTGGACGCCTTTTTATTAAAACTTTGTGAGCCTCTCTGACTTGCATTAACATTCTGAGTCATTGGCATGCTTTTATCTCTTACCAGTTTTGTTTCCTACCTTCTTTCCACTGTTTTGCAGTCTTGTTGGACTTCTGTAGTCTTTCATGTAGAATCACAGTGACAGCTGTTTTCGTTTCTGTCGTGTTTTGTTGTTTTTTTAATATATGCATGTGTGCTTGGTTGGTTGGTTTCCATCTTCATTAATAAAAGGAAATTTTGTTACTTCCATAGCAAGCGTTATTTACTCGAACTTGAGTCAAAGACTTTTCCTGGGGTGTTTTTGTCAGATTGAAACTCTTGGGTTGTTGAAGAGGAGGAGGATGTTAGTCATAAGCCGGGAAATAGTTGAGCAGACTTAGATGTTCATTATTCATGTGTCCGAGGTACACACACTGTTGAGTTTCCCAGTCCTGGTAAAGGATTCATGAGATTATGCAAATTATCACATACACCTGTTCTGAAAGGTTAAAACCTTTCACGGTAGAGATGAGGCGTTTGAGGCCATCCTTCTGCGTTCTTCCACGGGCGAGCGTGCCCACGTTCTGTCTAGTCTGGGTTAAGAGTGCTACTGCTGCCCACGTTACCAAAAAACACCAGCGGTACCGTGGTAAAAACTGATGCCTTTGTTCTCATTTTACTATTAGAGTGCTGTATGTAATGGAGCCGACCAGTTTTAGGTTAGGATGAGTCTTAGTTTTGTTGCCGTCTGGAAACGTTTGCTCATTTTCTCATTTACCTACCGAGTGTGTGTGTAGCAAATACTGAATTACTCCAGCCTCTTTAAGGAGTTCAAAGATGTTGAAGCTCAGTGGACGGAAGGGTGAGCCAGTAATTATCACAGAACCTCTGACGCGTGGGCCGCTTGCCTGTGCTGTGGTGCAGTGCTGGCACTTTAAATAGATGAGTTTTAGTCCAGTGCCTTACCTCGACTTTGCATTTACTCTGTAAGAGACTTGGGGTTTTTTAAGTGTTTTTCAGTTTCTTCCCTTGTTATTTGATTTGTTTATTTATTTCAGAATTGGGCAAAACAAAACTACAGCCAGGGACCCCACAATCTGCTTCTACTCCCACACCAAATGTTCCCGGCCCCTATGGAGCCTGGGGTTTCCATGGAGAGGCTCAGGGATAGCCTCGTTTTCCAGCCAGAGGAGTTACAGATACTCAGCCTCCTGGGAGGGGCTTGAGAAACCAGCGCGCGCCGCCGGGTTTTCCGTCGTGTGCGAGCAGACACGGTTCAGAGACCTACCTCCCTGAAGGGCCCCATCTGTTTCCATTGCTCATATTCTCGGCTTTTGTAGTCTGTGTTAGACTCTCCTGTCGTATTTTGTTTGAAGAGAATGTTGTGTTGAAAAAAATTCAGCTTAAAAATCACATTTCAGTAAATCGAAGGCCTCATTATCTGGCTCCCAAATTCCAGCACACGGGGAATCCAAGGATGAGGGAATGAACTTCTCATAAAACAGTTTTTTCTCTTGAATTCTAGAACAGATCAATTTTATTTGTCTATTTAGGTGTGTTTTTAGAAGTCCAGCCATCATTATTGCACGTATGAATATTTTAATATCTTTGCTTACATAAAATGTTGACATCCCTTTGTCAGCCCCTCAGTGTTACGTCTGAAATCGTATCAGTTGAGAAATCTAAAGGTTTAGGAACCGCTGGAACATGTGAAAAGTGTACGTAGACCTGATCCTGCGGAGAGCACTGTTGTGTTTTGCCGGCCTGTGTTCCCGTGTTCCAGTGTTCCAGAGTGTTCCGGAGCAGACGCTCCCAGCCAGTGCATTTGTCCTTCGAGTACCTGAGGGCTCCCACACACAGCCCCAGGCGCACAGGCAGCCCAGGAAGCAGTTTTCCTTTGAATCACCCTTGATTCAGTGCTCGGGAGGGGGAGACCTTCAAGGCAATAATCACGATCAAATACTGCTCCCGAGTATTGAGTTGAGAAGCTCGCGTGTGCCATCACTGAGGACTGGGAAAGCTTCTTTCTCACTCTCGGTCTTGTAAATGTCTTATTATTTTGAAGCAAAACGCATCAAACATGTAGACTTTTTACGGTGCGGTAATTAGTAGTTAATAAACAGTAATTATTTTTGTAAATTTTTTTTTTTAAAGTTTATTCATTACTGATAAAGAGAGAGAGAACAAACACAAGCAGGGGCAGGAACAGAGAAAGAGGGGGACAGAGAATCCAAAGCAGACTCCAGGCTCTGAGCTGTCAGCACAGAGCCCGATGTGGGGCTCGAACCCACGAACTGTGAGATCATGATCTGAGCCAAAGTCGGATGCTCAACCGACCGAGCCACCCAGGTGCCCCAATAAACAGTAATTATTAAAGGAAGTGATGCATTTGTTCAGGAGTCTTGACAGTAAGGAAATTCAGTTGTATTTCTCTTTGTGCTGATGTTCCTTTCATTTTTTTTCTTGTGAAAGATTTTTTGTTTTTTTGTCACGGATACTATCAGTATTCTTACTTAATTTAAAACTTATTAGAGTCTTATTAACATTTAATTCAATTTGAGTGGTATTTTTGTATTTCTATTAAGTTTTTAAATTGTATAAAATATTTGAAGTAAGGTGCTAGCTTTTTTTTTTTTTGTTTTTGATTCTGTATTGGAATGTCTTGAAAAATCAGCAGCTTTGTAAATGGCGATATTAAAGCATAATAGACCGAAATTGTATATTAAATGTACTTTAATATTTCTCTTAGATTAACCTCAGATACACATAAGATATTGGCATTGGAAATGATTGAGTATTGAGTTGAGAAGCTTGGTTAAATGTCAGTGTGTCAGCTATACTGTTATTGAGAGTACTGGTTGAAAAGATATTTTGGGATATTAGTTAATGGTACCCAAATCATTAAGGTTGAGTATTTTTAATGTGCAAATAGGCCTCTGTGTTTTCCTTTTAGAGAAAGACCAAAAATGATTTGTAAAATAATTGTTTTGGCTTTTATCATTACCTAACAACACATTCATGATGGAGTTCAAAGGTACTAGCTTAGTTTAGGCAACAGAAGTTAAATATCAGTTTAAAAATTTTAAACAGATTTGTTGAAAACCACTATCCTTTAATAAGAAGTTTAATTTTTCCTCTGGATGACCTAAAGAGCATTCGTGTCATAATTGTCGCAGAAGCAGAAATGTTCCACGGACCTACCACTTGGGTGCATTTCAGTCTCAGGATTGCCAAAGGCTGTGATGCCAGAAGAGATCTTTACTGATTGCTCAGTGCATTCATCTGTCTTTTTAAATGTTTGAACCCATGTTCGTGCTCTTTTTAAGAAGGATGTAGTCTTCAGTTATTACCCCACCACAGAGGAGAAACTGAAAAACAAAAAAACAAAAAACACTGATTATTATTAGTCAAACACTGGTCTAAACATCTTAGGGATTTTGACTCCCATAATACTGATAATGATGTGAGATAGTCATTCCTATCTGGTGGAGAAGGAAACCGAAGCACAGACGAATTAAATGATTTGCTCAAGGCCAAACAGTTAACAAATGGAGCCAAGATTTTAACGTGGGTAGTATGAAGAAACAAAAATCATCCTTCGTGTATCAGTTTTGGGGAGCGAGAAGTCCCACCTCTTTGTTACTAGTTCAGGCAATAAAATAACGTTGACCCTTAGGAGAAAAGAGTCTTAAGTAGACTTCTGTGAGCACTTGTAATGTAAACTATTGTCCCCTACTTTTAACCGCTTCTGACTAAACTTAACGTATTTTTCCCCTAAACCTGCAGGACTATCGAAAACAGAAAAAAAAGTGAAATTGGAAGAAAAAAGCTCAACAGCATTTGGTATGAACAGAAAGTAATCTTTAAGCAAAAGACTATAGATGGCTTGGCAGCGGGAGGACGTAGTCTGTCCCCTACTTTTTACCTGTTAGTGCTCCTTTAGGTGTCAGTGACCATCCGGGTTCGTATTTATCAGTGCTGTTCAGTTCCACATACGTATTTCTTAAACACATATTTTCATAGTATTATGTGTATTTTTTGTTGACGGAGTCGAAGGCTTCCTCTGAGAATTTTGTGTTTCTGAACATCTTTGTAGGATGGCTCTTTAAAAATAAGCCACCGTCTAATATTGTTGGGACTTAGGGCATGGATGGTAAATTAAGAGAGTCATTTTTCTCAGACTTTCTTCTTTAACTGACCTTATAAAAATGTCAGTGAGTTTTTCTGCTTTCTTTTCTGTCTTCTGTGCTATAATAATGAAACATTTTACAGTAATGGATGATAGTCTTAAATATTCTGTAGATTAGCCAGCTGGAGTTGGGTCCCTGAGAGTGGATTAAATATGTTTCATAAATTGTAGGCTATATCATTCTGATTTGGAACAGTAGTTGAGTATATGTGATGAGTCAGTTTTAAGTAGAATACCCTAGGATATTGCTTTCACATCCATTCCTTTTTTTTTAAAGTACACGTGAATGGGAAGAAGGGTATTTTAAACTTTGGGGGAAAAATCAGTTTAATTAAGTAAGTTTTTGCTCTGTGTTCCTAGCCTTCATTGTACACATTGGGAAGTATTGGAAGACTGAAGGATTTACTTACGGATTGATCTAGTTTTTTATTTTTCCAAAGGAAAGAATTTCATTACATTCTTTTTAAGATCTGATATAATTTCTCGTTAAATTCTCCGTGGAAATGCTGAGTCTCCTCAGTCAAGTCTTTCTTAAATTATGGAATTTCTTTCTTGCCACATCAGGGAACTGAGTATATTACTCATTTAATATTTTAACTACTGTCTGTGTTAACTTCAAGGTGTCAGGAGTTGGGATTTCTCAACACTGCTAATGAAGACCCCCTCTTAGAGCCCAGTAAGCTAATCAGGAGTTCCAGACCCATGACAGGAACAGTTTAATTGAATCCATCCACTGGGCAGGTGACTGGAATAGCTGATTAAAACATAAATGCTGCTTTTAGGTTAACCACAGAGCAACGACTCAAGATCAGTCACGATGGCTAACTTTGTCACTCCTGTCATGTAGGTAAGAGAAGAGAGAAGGATAAGGAAAGAAAAGAGAAGAAAGACAAAGATCACTACAAACCAAAACAGAAGAAGAAAAAGAAAAAGAAAAAGAAATCCAAGCAGCATGGTAAGCACGCTAAAATGGTGATTACTGTGTCTTAAAATTCTCAGATTCTGTCGCTTTTTCTGTGTTCTTCCACCAAAATGGAGATAGGACAAGATCCTCATGTTGTTGAGGACCTGGGAAGTCCCTGTAGATTGTCTTTGGCTTTTGCCAGTTTTGAAAATCTGTAACAGTGTTCACTGTAGTCTGTGAATTAGTCCATCTGTACACCAGTCATCACAGCCGATTAGAGATTCTCATTTCCGGCATTATGGGGGACTAGATACCCTTGTCAAGTATGCTTCAGTATACTGAAGGAATTATTTTCAGTCGAGAATTACAATCCCTAGAATTAGCTTTCAGAAGTGAGGAATAAATAAAGCCATTTGTAGAAACAGTTGAAAAAGTGATTTTTATTATCAATAGCCTGTCTAAAGGATATCTTCTTAATCCTGTACTTGAAGGCTGAAGGAAAATGATGACAAAGGAGGGTTTGAGATGTCGGAAGAAGTGATAAGCAAAGAAAACGTAAATACGTGAATAAACCTGAACACCGATTATATAAGTCATTTTGAGTTGTGGGCAGAAACAACAAAATGTTAGGGAACAGAAATGTGTAGCAATAATAACAGCTTTTAAATTGAGAGGGGCATATGTGTATTTCAGTGTTTTAAAGGTCTTGTTTTGGAAGAGGAAAAGAAAGAAATGTATTGCTTGAAGACTCCCAACAGGTTAAATCTGCAGTGTAGAATTGCTAATATGAATACTAAAAGGATGGAAACATGGGGTATAATTTCCAGAGTAACAGTAAGAAAACGTAATGAAAAACCCATCCAAAGGAAGGTGATACAAAAAGAAAAGCATCAAAGAAGAAAAATACAAATTACAAAATAGAATAGTAGACATAAATCCAAATATATCCATAATTATAGTGAGAGAGATGATCATAATTGATTTAAAACATCCAGTTAAAGGTTATTTTTAACAGACCAATCTAAATATAGGAATAGAGAGGACAGTAATGTTGGGGGTGGGGGGAAAGCATGGGAAAAAATGTGAGCAAATACAAACCCAGGGGAAAGTTGGAGTAGATACATTCATGTCAAAGAAAATAGTCATTAAAGGAAAAATCATTTCTAGAGATAGGCGACTATGTAATGGGAAATGTTCAATTCACTTTATATCTTTCTAGATGTAAAATTTCCACATTTTATTACTGAATAAATTCATCATATCTCTCGTAGTAATTAATGAACAAAACTCAAAAGTATTCTGTAAGGAAAAGAAAGGTGGTGGCAGCACAGGTGACCTCACAGTCCCTGTCAGGGACGCTGAACTCAGCAGCTGCAGAGCAGAAGGGTTTTCTCAGTCGCCAGCATGTATCAAAGATGACTGCCGACAGCCCTGAGCAGATGTCGGCGCTCTCTAGAGATGGGGTGACGCAGACTACGCTTTCTGACTGCGGTAGAGTTAAGTCAGTGTTAAAATGATAACTAGAAAAACCTCGTATGTTTAGAAATCATGCCACACATTTTTAAATAATTCATGGATCAGAGAATGGTATCAGAAGGAAGGTGAGATGTTAAGAACTTATGAGACGATGAAATTACATATCGAAACTTGAGAATGTGGTTAAGATGGCACTTTTAGAAGAATATGTATTGTCATAGATATTTTTATTAGAAAAGAAGGCTGAAAGTCAACTAAGCCTTTAGCTTAAGAAGTTAGACATGAGCAGGTTCAAAACAAGTACTAGTAAATAAACATTCGAGTAGAAATTAGTGAACTACAAATAAAATTCTAGAAAGAAATAAAAAATGCCAAAATTAATTGATTACAAACTAATAGAATGAGCAAACCACTGGGAACACTGGTTAAGGAAGAAAGACAAAATGCACAAATAAGTGAGATTAGAAACCAAAGGGAATATAACTACAGATGTTCCAGACCTAAAACGAAGAAAATATAAACAACTTTATGCAGTGAACTTGAGAGGTGTCAACCTGAATAGTCCTCAAACCTGAAAAGAAATTTAATTAGTATTTTAAAATCTTGCCACAAAGAAAAAGCCCTGACCCAAAAAGTTTTGTTGCCAATTTTTACCAACTGTTAAAGGAATAGATTATTCCAAACTTACATAAATTATTTCAGAATTTAAAAAAAGAGAGAACATTCCTTTAGTAGGGAGAAAAGTGTCCCTCGAAAATCTATGTCTAACTCTCGGTCCTTGTACCTGTGAATGTGACTGTATTTAGAAGTAAGGTCTCTGCCGATGTGATTAAGAATGAGATAGTCTGGGGGCGCCTGGGTGGCGCAGTCGGTTAAGCGTCCGACTTCAGCCGGGTCACGATCTCGCGGTCCGTGAGTTCGAGCCCCGCGTCAGGCTCTGGGCTGATGGCTCAGAGCCTGGAGCCTGTTTCCGATTCTGTGTCTCCCTCTCTCTCTGCCCCTTCCCCGTTCATGCTCTGTCTCTCTCTGTCCCAAAAATAAATAAACGTTGAAAAAAAAAATTAAAAAAAAAAAAAAAAGAAAGAATTAGGGTTCGTGGGTGGCTCAGTCATTTAGGCGTCCGACTTCAGCTCGGGTCATGATCTCACGGTCGGTGGGTTCGAGCCCCCCGTTGGGCTCTGCGCTGACAGCTCAGAGCCTGAAACCTGCTTTGGATTCGGTGTCTCCCTCTCTCTCTGCCCCTCCCCCACTCACACTCTGTCTCTTTCTGTCTCTTGAAAATAAATAAATGTTAAAAAAAAAATTAAAAAAAAATAAAAGAATGAGATCATCTGGGATTTGAGTGGATACTAGAGCCAATGAAAAGGAGGGGGAGATTTGGAACCCACAGGGGAGAAGGCTGTGTGAGGACACAGGCAGCGATCGGAGTGATGCCGTCCCAAGCCAGGGCACTCGAGCCACCAGACACCGCAAGAGGCAAGGAAGGATTTGCCCCTCGATACTTGTGAGGGAGAGGGCCCTGTTGACACCGAATTTTTGACTTCTGGCCTTCAGAACTATGACAGAATAAACTTCTGTTGTTCTGATCCACCAAGTTTGTGATAATTTGTTGGAGCAGCCCTAGGAAACTAATACAACTCCGAATTCATTTTAGATTATTTAAATAACTTGGCTCAAAATCAGAAGAGAACAGTATGGGAAAGCTCAGTTCTAGGCATTTCTCATTTGTGGACATAGATACAGAACTCACGAGCAAATGTTATGGAATTAAGTCCAGCAATGTATTAAAACCTATGACCACATAGGGTTGGAATGCACAGTTGGTTTGACATTAGAAAATCCATTGGTGAAATTCACCACAGTAACAGTTGAAGGACAAGAAACATTACTGTCTTTCTATATGTAGAGAAACCATTTGATACATCCATGTGTCCTTACACTTAGCAAAAAAAGTTACGACTAGCTGATTATAAAACTTTATTTAGAAACATTAAAGAAGGACTAAATACATGGGAGATAATTCACGTTCATTGGTTAGTAGATTCAATATTGAGAAGATGTCACTTCATGCTAAATAAATTTACAGGTCCAGTGCTGATTTTAAAACTTAACAGTGGTAAAGAGCCTAAAATAAAATAGCCAATCTTGAAGAAGAATGAAGAGAAGAATTACCATTTCACAATAGTTTAAGGCAGTGAGGCATTGGGAAAGAATAGACGTATTGATTAAGGACAGGCTAATCCAAAACATGTACAAATATAAAACCTTGGTTTGTACAGAGCTGGCATTCTTAGATTAGATAAAGGGTGAGCTTTTCAGTGATTTGTATGAGAACATTTTTACTCCCTAAAAATGAAATTGGACTGCTACTTAACACCATACCCAGAAATCAGTTCCAGGATGATTAACGATGAAATGTGTGGAAGACAAAACTGTAAACCTTTGAAAGGCAGTATAGGAAAGCATCTTTATGATCTTTGAGTAGGGAAGGATTTCTAAACAAAAAGTGCTAATCTTAAAGAAAGGGGTTGAAAATTTGACTAGACCGAGATTGGCGGGTTACACTTGAGAGGGGTCCAGCGACAACTAGATAAAGCAGAAGAAAGGATCCATGAACTGAAAGACAGAGCAGCAGAACTCATCCAGTCAGAGCAGCAAAAAGAAAAAATGAAAACAAGTTACAATAGATTAAGGGGCTATGGGACAACATCAAATGGACTAACCTTTACCTTATGGGGGTCCCAGAAGGTGAAAAGATAATTCATGCAAATGGAAATCAGAAGAAAGCTGGAGTAGTTATATTCCTATCAGACAAAATAGACTTGAAAACAGGCAGTAATAAGAGGCAGAGATAGGTGCCACATAGTGCTAAAGGGGTCAGTCCAACAGAAGGATACGAAATTCATACATACTTATGCACCCTACATAGGAGCACCTAAATACAGAAGGCAACTATTGCCAGATCTAAAGGGAGAAGTACACAGCAATACAATAATAGTAGGGTATTTTTAACATTCCACTTCTATCAATGGATAGATCATCCAGACTGAAAACCAACAAGGAAACCACCTTAAATGACATGTTAGATCAGATGGACTTAACAGATATATTAGAACATTCTGTCCCAAAGGAGCAGATAACAAATTCTTCTCAAGTGAACGTGGAACATTTTCCAGGTTAGATTATATGTTCGGCCACAAAAGAAATCTTAATAAATTTAAGGGGATTTAAATCCTATCAAGCATCTTTTCTGATCACGATAAATAGTATGAAACTAGAAATTAATTAAATGGAGAAAACTGGGAACTTCACAAATATGTGGAGATTAGAATACATACTCCTGAACAATCAGGGAGTCAAAGAAGAAATCAAAAGAGAAATAAAATGCCTCAAGACAAATGAAAATGAAAATACGCCAAAATTTGTGAGCTATAGCAAAAACAATTAAATTTTTTTTTTTTAATGTTTATTTATTTTTGAGAGAGAGAGCATGAGCAGGGGAGGGGCAGAGAGAGAGGGAGACACAGAATCTGAGGCAGGCTCCAAGCTGTCAGCATGGAGCCTGGTGCGGGGCT